CGTCCGACCATGCAGTACGGGCTTGGGAGTCTATGATGTGCAGGGTTGAGCATGCTGATACTGCTGCAGAAGATACCTGGAACCAGTTCCCGATGCTGCATATTGTACACTTGGATGATTTCACTGCCACCACCGTAGATGATCCAGCGGAGGCCCATAAGAAGTATCAACGATGGTATGCTCGGGTTTCTCATCCTAGACTCTTGTATGACAGTCAGCCGGACAACGACGCGGTCCCTGCGCGCGCCAACACCGATTATATAAGTCGTTTACTGAATTTTAGTTAATATTCTTTCATTACAATTTTTTTTATAATTTATATATGATATATTTTGATTCTTCTGTTTTGTGTAGTGGGTCAAACGGTACCAAGCCGTTACATCAGATTGGCAGCGGGATTGCGCAACAGTTGCTCCTGATATGGCGGCATTTTATGCAGAAAAATTGGCTCAAATTAAGTTGAATTTCGACAGAGCGCAGCAGTGATGTAATGAATGTTTTTTTTTTCTTTTTTTATATTTTATTTTAGATTTTGCTGTATGGGTGAAGTTTAGTAGATTTGTGTTTTTTTATTTTATTTTATATGTGGTCAGTTTATTTTGTTTTCATCTATTTCTAAATGTTATACTATATTCCAACCAAAAAATTCCATAATATCACGCTAAACGGTAAACACGGCGAAATATCACAATCTATCACTCATAATGCATGAAAATATAATGAATGCCATCAATCGCAAAAGTAAGTCGAATATCATAATATATCAAATTCCAGCTGCAAATACGAATATCATTCCACAAATGGCGCCTGCTCTGGTACTGATCCTCCCATCCTGCAACCGTCCCATCTCGGTATCTTTCCCACCAATAACAAATGGGCGGTAATGGAAAATCAGAAGACAAATTCAGACGAATGTAGTGTTTGTAAGAAACAATATGACCTATGATGATCTCGCGTTCAGGTCGTGTAGTCGATACTGGCCAGGGTTGAGCATGCTGATACAGCTGCAGAAGATACCTGGCACCAGTTCCCGATGTTGCATATTGTACACTTGGATGATTTCACTGCCACCACCATAGATGATCCAGCGGAGGCCCATGAGGAGTACCAGTGATGGTATGCTCGGGTTTCTCATCTAGACTCTTGTCTGACAGTCAGCCGGACGACGTCGCGGTCCCTGCGCGCGCCAACACCGATTATGTAAGTCGTTTACTGAATTTTAGTTAATATTCTTTCATTACATTTTTTTTTAATAATTTATATGTGAGTCATAATTTACCTAATAAAGATGAACTTTTATCTTTATTAAAAGGAAAAACAATGTTTATATTTTTTGATTGTAAATCAAGTTTTTGGCAAGTCCTTTTAGATAAGGAATCCCTATTGCCAACAGCTTTTACATGTCCTCTAGGACATTACCAATTTGTAGTAGTACCTTTTGGATTGAAACAAGCACCATCAATCTTTCAGAGGCATATGAATAATGCACTCAGAAAGTTTGAAAATTTTTGTTGTGTATATGTTGATGATATTCTCATCTTTAGTGATACAAAGCAAGAACACTATATGCATGTTGCAGTAGTTTCAAAGGAATGTGACAAATTAGGAATAATCTTGTCCGAAAAGAAAACTCAATTGTTTAAGACTAAAATTGACTTTTTAGGGATAACAGTTAAAGAAGGTTTTCATTAAACTCAAACCATATCTTGGAACATATTAACAAGTTCCCTGATAAGCTTGATGATAAAAAAAACATTTAATGCGCTTTCTAGGTGTATTAACCTATGCTTCAGATTATATTCCTAAATTAGCTAATATAAGAGGACCTTTACAAGCTAAATTAAAGGAAGACAAAAAATGGTATTGTACAGAAGCCGATACTAATTACCTGAAGAAAATAAAGAAGAACTTCACTAGTTTTCCTTTATTATATCTCCCAAAAATAGATGATCAATTAATCATTGAAACAGATGCATCAAATGCATAGTGGGGTGGCGTTTTAAAAGCATTATCTAAAGAAAAAGAGTATATTTGTCGATATGCTTCAGGAAGTTTTAATTCTGCTGAAAAGAATTATCATTCAATGAAAAAGAATATCTTGCAGTAATAAATACAATCAAGAAATTTACGATTTATCTTACTCTTTGTAAATTTACTGTTAGGACAGATAATAAAAACTTCACTTACTTCTTGAAAACCAAGATGAAAGGTGACAGTAAACAAGGTAGACTTGTTAAATGGCAAATGTGGCTTAACCAATATGTATTTGATGTGCAACATATTGCAGGAAACAAGAATGCCCTCGCAGACTTTCTATCTCGGGAGTTTAACTACTTTTGATAAAATGTTTGCAGGATTAAGGCTTATCAAAGCACATAACCAGTCACAAACGGTGACAATAGGGAGTCGCTTCCCATGCACTATTTGTGCTTGACAAAGCATCATCTGAAATGGATGAATTAGAGCAGCTTCGGTTGCAAGAAGGACTTCTAGTCCAAGAACATAAATTAGTTCGTGCCAAAATCAAGTATGTAAGCTTGTTTTAAGCTGAACAAAAAAGAGATTCTACTATCATTAATCCAGCAATGGAACAAACGAGTAATGTAACAAGACTAGCTTGTGAAAAAAAAGAAAAAATTTTATCTCCTCCAGATCTTATAGATCTAAAAAATGAAACTAGTCCAGAGCAAACGGCTACTGGTAAAGACACATCAAATCCGTTAATAGCTAGAAACTTGCTAAAAGCGGCAATAGGTATATAATTACCAACAACGTCGGATAATTCTGATAGATTAAACTTAAGACCAAACGGTGGAACACTTGTTCCCAAACAGATAAAATCACTTAACGATGACAACGGAGTTCAAATCTTAAATTAAAAGGACAAGACTTTTTATGTCGTGTTTGTTTGTCCCATTTTTGTTACGTTTTTCGTTGTCTTTTTATTTTTATTTTTCCCCCCATATTAGTTCTTTTAGTTAGTTTTAGTCCGTTTTATATTTTATTGCATGCTTTGCTCTATTTTGGTCTTCTATGTGCTTTTCGTGTGTTTTTCTGTTTTTCTTCCTGTTTTTTTGTGTGCAGGTCGGAAGCCCCGTGTGGAATAGATTCAGCCCAAAAGTTGAACTAACAAGCATGGTTGTGTAGACGGGTTCGTTTTTGACATATAAAAAGAAGCGAAAATCAATTTCGAGCTCGGACGAGTCCGAACGGGCCCAAAATGCGAAGTCGCGCAAAGCACGTCTTTGGTGTGCTGGTCATAAGCTTTAGGAGAATTGGATTTCAAGTATAGTTTGGCCATGCAAGAATCATTGAATAGAGGGGTTCGTTAGCGACGCGTAGGAAAAAACGGAACTCAATTCCGAGTTCGGACGAGCTCAAACGAGCCTGTAACGCAAAGTCGCGTTGTCCAGGCCATAGCGGCGCTAAGGCCTTAACGGCGCTAAGCCTAGCTTACCTAGCGGCGTTACACCATGTTAACGACCCCCAGCAGCTCGGTCTTTCATCCCTTAGCGCTGCTAACCCCCCTTAGCGGCGCTAAAGCCCCCTGCAAATCACAAAATGGTATGAAAACCCCAAAAACTCATTTTCTTCTCCATTCTTTCACTTCCAGCTTGAAGGGGGAGAAACCCTAGGTCCGAAAATCGCCTCCCTCCTTCACTTTTCTTCATATTTTTCTTTCCTTCTTCTTCTTCTTTTCTCCTCTTCTCCATCTTCTTCTCCATTTTTCTTTCTTTTTTCCTTCTTTTCCATTTTAGGGATTAAGCTTGTATTGTGGATTCAACACTTGGATTGAGATTAATTGTAAGTTTTTCTTCTTGTTTAATCCATGGAAATGGTTGAATTTGGAGAAATAATTTATTGTGTTGAATTTATTGTATGTAGCTAAACCCTATTGCTAGGGATAAGGGATGATTGTTCTTGTTTAATTCGTAATTGTTGGTCTTTAATTTGTTCGTTATTGTGCGAGTTGATTATGCTAGGAATTGTTGAATTCTTGTTTGATAATTGATATAACCTAAGAGTGACACTTAGGTTAATTTGTTGATATAATCGAAGAGTGACACTTTGATTTTGTGATTGGAATAATGATTGAATGTTGATTTGTCGAGTTGTAGTTTGTTGATTATACATAATTAGTTGATTAAATACCTTCGAATTGAATTAGCGACTTTTAGAACCGAAAGGGGAGGAGTCGTAGAACTAGGCTCGTATGAGGTAGACGATTTCGTAACTGAATAGTCTATAGGTTTTGGATTGAAGTACACGCTTGTCGATGTCTCGTCCCTTGTTACGAAGAGTTATTGGGATTGGATTATTGGCCGGTGTTGTATGCTCGAGCTTGCTCGTCTATGTTCTATCCCTTGTTACGAAGAGTTATTGAAAGCGAACCGCTAGATGTTTAAGCGAGAGCATCAATCCAGAATAGAACGATTAATGTCCCGATTTTTGCGAATAGAACTTGAATAAATTATCCCCGATTCTCTAGCTTCTCCATCTTTATTTCGTTTATATTTCTAGGTAGATTATTGCTTCTTACTATTCCATAGTTGATAATTCATTCCATCCCTTATTTAATTAGTATGTTTAGGATTTATTTTGCTTTCATGTGCTATCAATGTCAAAGTTAAATTCCGAACTGCCTTCCTCGTGAGATCGACCCGAGGAACGAATCTTTCGATTCAGTACTCGGTAAAAATAACAATTTGTGCTACAACAGTGTTCAATGGCTCATATGCAGGTATTTACCAAGACTGACAAATAATCAAGGAAACAGATGGTATTTCTGGTGTTTCACACAAGATATACAAAAGTTTTCTTGAAGCACGGATCGCAGCCAATCAGTATACAAGAATCAATGCAATAGCTCCCCTTGAGCTAATTTACACAGCAGATGGACTTAAGCCCAACACATTCACTGCGGCCTTAAAGAAGCCCAGAAAACAATAAAGGCTCCAAACTCTTGGAAAAATCCCCAAGAAGCTCAATCAGGAAGCCCAACAAGATGAACGGACCAATTCGGCCCAAACTTCAAAAGAAGGCTTGGATTATTAGATCAACTAGTGGTGAAGCAGAAATCTTAACAGAAAGTACTTTACAACAAATGAAAAGCACTTAAGGTTTTTAACTTCATAAAGAATGCAAATCCTGAAATGGTTATTGAAGCGTTCGAATATGGAATGGTAAAAACCATATATCCGAGCCAAACCTTAAAGGAACTACAAGAGCTACCTTCTATTTTTTTTCAAGGCAATAAAGAACTACATGAAAAAATGCATCCAAGGCGACAAGGACATTTTTCTAAAAATCATGAGTTCGGTACCAATTTGTGCACAGAAATCAAGATTTTCGAAGTTTCATTACAAGTACCTGATGGAACAAAAAAAAAAATAGTAGATGAAACTGATATAACAATATTCTTTAACCATTTCGAAAAGGAGTCATGATGGTAAAATTGGTACGTATTCTATTGAAAATCAGAAAGATCTTTGAACAAGTATTGGTTAATAAAATTTAAAATTTAATTCTAGAGAATCAGTTGGTAAATTTGAACAATAGGATAACCGATAAAAAATTTAGAAAATTGCGAGACACTATATATATATGTGTGTGTGTGTGTGTGTGTGTGTGTGTGTAGTCTAAATTTAAGTTCTAGATTTAAAAGTCAAAGTCAATTATTCATAGTTTAATGAATTACTCAACTAGTTGATTTTTTATTTTATTTTTTATTTGAATAGTTTATACATAAATAAATTTATTTTAGTTAATGAAGCAATACAAGTTTTATGATTATACTTATTATTCACGTAGATTTTTTAAAATATGTTTTTTTTTATGGAATCACATTGTAGTCAAATAGAATTTCTCTCAATAAAAATTTAAGAATGACAATTATTTTGAAATTAATGTAATGCAATTTATTATCAATTATGTGCATCCAGACTGTGTACTAATTTTAAACAGACATGATTTATGTAATTTTGCGTAATTTAAATTTCATATGACATTTACACTAAATTAATAAAGGTAAATTATATTACAACTTGATTCCGTATTTTTAATTTATAAATATAATTTAATGAACATTTTTAATTTATTGAATATCTTTTTTCCGTGTGATGCACGGGATTCGTAGTAGCATAAAGTAAACCAAAAATAACATCTATTATAACATTTCATGTTTTATTATGCAAATTTATATGTTGTGTAAGCTTATTAAATATCGTCCACCTTCAAAAAAATTTCAAATATACTAAATAGCATATTAAAGTCCAACATTTGTTTCACTTTCAATTTGATCTAAACATTTCAGTTGTGGCAATGAGTCTTGGACCTGGTTTGGTTGTAGCTAGACTTTCTTTGCGTTTGTTGTTGGTGTTTTTCTTGCTTTATGGATTTGGTTGTCCGACGAATAAGGGCTCAGCTAGCATGCCTAAGCCTCGAGGGTGTTTAGATTGTTTAGACTACCGTATGGTGTGTTTTCTCATTTTTAGTTTTGATTAGTCTTTGAGACTTCCCAACCTTGTATTCGAACTTTGTTCGCGAATGTTTTGATGTTATATAATATCTCTACTGTTTCAAAAGAAAAAAGAAAAGAAAAAAAAAAGACTGAAGAAAGGTAATCATTTTTGTTCAATATAAGTGTCATAATGAAATTAACAAATTTTTTTTCAACTTCGAATTTATAGAAACCACCCCAAAGTTATTCCTACAGAATTTATAAGAACAAAACGTTTTGTCTAATAATGAGACAAAAAGGTGAAATAAAGCCGAAGAAAAAACATTGCAGAAACTTAACAAAGACAAGTGAGAAAATAGTAAATTGTCCAAATCACCATACAATACAAGCTCGCACCTATATGAACGCAGTGAAGGCAGTCAATAGTTCATAAATCATTTTCATCATCATACACCAAACCGCAAAAACATAGTTTTTGCACATTCACATTTACGATCACAAAAATATCTGCTTTTTTATCCTATGCTGGGGCTTGGTAGAAAATCGGTGTATTTGAAAACTTTCACCTACAACTCTTACAGAATCAGAATTGTTTAGACTGTTGCATCATGTACTGCAAGAATTCAATCCACTTTACTGTCGCCTTCAGCTTTGTCAGTCGATCCTTCAGGCTCTACAAACAAGCAAATAATAAAAACACAAGAAGCATTGTTCACTTGCATTACATATGTTTTAGTTTGGTTGTGTTCGAGAACATAACAAGAACGAGGTAAGTATCGGTTAAAAGAAAGGGGAAACAAGAAGTAACTAATAACTACTTCAAAGCCAAGACCTGAATACTGTGTCAGGTCCTTCCGTTTGCCGCTATTTAATCTCCATTGCCCCCACCATCATTTCCCAACTCGGCTGTGGTTGAGTTTATGAGCCACTGCAAACAACAAAAAAAAGTGTGTGAAGAGAAATTAATTTGATTAGTGCAAACAATTTCTTTAGTCGTACTCGTACCTATAAATAGGTTTCTTCATAAATCCTACTAATCTCCCCACTCTGAATAAAACGAGTTTAATTATGCCCTGTATGTGGCCCAATAAACTAAATGCCAATCCAACAGATTAGTATTTCATGGCCCGCAAGGTAACTTCCTCAAATTTTATGGGTTTCTTTAATAAGAGAAAAATGACAGAGATCTTGTCATATGTTTTGTGACTCAGATCGCTGACTGAATCCAAACCTCTTAATAACTGACGTAGTTGCATTAATAAATTTAATTCGGATTGTTATCAATGTTTAAACTTAGCTCCTTCCGATATCATCCTTATTTGGTTTGTATTAATACTTTTTCGCTGCCAATTTGTAATTTGAAATTTATTAGACAAGGTTTGTATGACTTGATATTTCAGCCGCCCAACTCATAATCACAGGATTAAGTTTGTGTTCTAGGTACGTATATGGATTTCTTATTGTTATTTTAAATATCAAATGATACATCACTGCTAAGGATCACGCCCCATGTGGGGTTTGACAGAGTAGTATCAGAGTTTGGTCATAAAATGGACACTTACAATGAGTGAACCCAGGATCTTTGGCCAGTATTGGGTTAACCTCTACTTACTCATCTTTTATTACAATTTTATATCCGTTTATCTTCCATAATTGGAAGTACTGTGATTAATATGTTGACCCTCAATGATTTAAATTTCACAAGGGTCATACGAGTATTACATAGACATTTTCCTTTGTACATATTGTTTGATTGAGTTTTGACTAGAGTGTTTGTCTAGGTATGGATCTCATTGCGACTCTTTGTTCTCTTTGATGTACGAGAGGAACAGCGTAAAGATTTTAGATGAGGCATTGGAGCAATGGATGGAAGACTGGGACTTAGAGGATTATCAAATGCTTCAAGCACAGGTGGAATATGTTTACGAGCTGGAGCAACAACTTGCCTAGGCCCAGCAAACTGTGGGGATGCACTCTTCATACTCCCAGGAGTTATATATAACTCTCTTGGAGACACAACTAACTAGGCTAGGGCATGATGCCGATTACTACTACAAACGGCAGCTACACCTGACAGCTGCTCGACTCCACGAGGAGCCAGCGGATTCGAGTGTTAGCTTGTCGCAGAGAGGCACGCCTCACAGCAGTCCATTACTATCACTCCGACTCCACAACAGGACAACCGAGAAAAAGACTAATGGAGTCGGATGATGATTGATCCACTCCAAAATTGCATATTTTATTATAATGACTTGTTTAATAAGCACTTTTGATCCACTCATCCAAGTTTTCTATTCTAAGGTAGATAGTAATAAATTTTTACGAAGACTTTTGGCACATCTATAACCTCCGTCGGTATCACAAAAAAGGGGAAAATCTTTTGTTGATCGGTTGAAGATAAATATTTTATTTAGCACAAAAACAATTGAATCAAAGATGATGTAATAAACTAGACAGTAGTACACCACAAGAAATTATAGTCGGAGGTGCAAGCACAGACAGACAAAAAAGAGTTTGCATAGATTCTTCATACACTAACCTGGAGTTCTTGTTCCGATCTTTTGAATCTCTCATCATAATCTCGAATTTGCTGATAAATTTTATGCATCTGCGCGAGTGGAAGTAATTAAGAGAACTACCAGATTTCACATTTTCGACTTGGAATCAAAATAGCACTTAAAATACATCACATTACCTTGGCTAATTGTAAATGACGGCATGAAGTAAGTTTTCTGGCTGAAAGTAGTGAATCTTCCAATTTCTAAAGTCACAAATTGTTATTAGATATGGATAACATACGTTAACAAAAGCATTGGTACACCAAATTACACTGAAGAACTCCAATTACCTGATTCAGTGAATCAGTAATGAAAAAAAATTCACCTGGCACTTTTCCTGTAATTTGGAAACAACTTCCTGCTTGTCTGCTACCAATTCTTCCATCCGAGATATCTGCTCAGCAGGTTGGAAAATATACCATATCAATCGACTTGAATAGTGAGCTAAAGTTTATAAGAACAAGAATAGATAGACCCATTAGCTACATGTCTCGGAGTTCTTTGATAAAGTTCTCTTACTAATCACTGAAAGATAAACTAGACAAAAAAAGCGTGCAGCTAAGAAATTAATTAATCAATAAGTTAATAAATCAGAACAGCTTCTTAACACACATAGAAATTCTCAGCAACAAATGGCAATCAAGTTTCTCAAATACAGCAACAACAGATATGTGTTCGGCCTTCCTAATAAATCAATTGAGAATCGCCTGTTGTAGTTAAATGATAGTTTTCAATTATTCATGTTAGAAAAACTTTTTACAAGTGTGGAATAACAATTTCAAGGATCTGGACTAAGTTTTAGGCTTACAAATGAATAAAGTATTCCAAAGCGAGTGAGAACAAATTGGCATACATACATACTACATATAACTCAGTCCGATTGACCTCATGCTGTCAGGTGATATTTGTGTGTCTCTGAGGCTTTCACAGGCAAATGTTACAAAAGCTAGGTTTGAAAAATGCAAGTAACAGACAACCAGAGAATTGGGATGCAAGAATGCAACTTATTTACAATGATTGCTGATTGATTGACTTAATCCAGATTATGGCCTAACTTGATTTCCTTCCTTTAGTTTAGTTAAAACCAAATAAAGAAACACATAATTGATAATTCAAACCAGAATTAGAAACCATAGAAGAGGATTTCGGAACAAAAAATAAAGAAACCAGAATTAGAATATTTGTTTAAGAGGAGCAACACATAATTGATAATTCAAACCAATCTGTGGTCGTTTATATTTCACTTTATATACATACATTTTAGCAGTTTTGTTATTTATTGTCATAAGCAGACCAACTGCTCACTCCCAGCATCTCCAACACCCATAGATATAGGTCATTACACATAAACATGACAGTCTCCTCTTATTTCAATCAATTATATCTTATTAACAAACTCCTCCGGTATTTCAATATCGAGTTACAGCACCATCAAAAGCATAATAATCATTTTGTCCAGTTTAACTCTAGAAATACAAACTATACCTCCTGACGAAGTCCTTCAAGCTTTCGGATTGAAATCGCTAGATTATTTTTACCCTGTTAATCGAGAAAATCGATCGCTCATGATATTGTGATACAGAGCCACACGTGTAAACATATAAACGACCAAGACTCCAACCTGATCCTCATCATCGTTGAATGACTCCAAAGACAGCTCTCGGATACCATGATCATCGAATCTAGACCTGCTTGGGCGTACATAATTCACTTAGACATCAGCTCCTCCATAAAATAAACATAAACTATAACATGCCAATGCAGTTGCTAGATATTCAGGCTACAGAGCTGAACTAAATGTATTGTTTGGCAACACAACAAATTCCCAAACTAGCATGCTTTTCACTGAAACAAACAGTTCTTGTCTACTTGAACAGTCCAGTCAATATTGCGTGATTTGACTGCCCAAGTCAAATTTCTAGAAAGTGATGGCTAGCACGAACCTATTACTCAGGCCGTAAAATACTGTCATTCTTGAAGAAAACTGATTCACTAGACTCCCATGAACAAACTATACAACTTAATTCAATTCAAGCACTTTGGATGTACATTAAATGCAAAAAAAAAAAATGCAATAAACAACTCTTAGGTTCACACAAGTCAATCAAAATTTTGGGTTAGGTACCAAGTACCACAATGCAGTAAACTCAGTGTTATTAACGGTGGATGGCGGTAAATTGCGGGAAGCCAACCGCCGCCATTACCGCCACACTTCACAAATTTAGCCTGGCAGTTTGTCAAAAAACTGCCACGCCATACCGCCACCATGGTGCCGCCATTTTATAACACTTATAAACTTCATTCACTCTTTAATATTTCTTCTTCCCCTAATTCCCTCCTCAGAGTGTGCTTAACTACTCTCATGTTAATTCACCTTTTTCTTGTGATTCTTTTAATCCCCGTGTGAAATTTGCCAACAATCCCAAAATCTTCATTATTCATATCCTACTCATTTTGTTATTCAACTTAAACATTTTAATTATGCCATATTATGAGGATGATTTTTCCTGAACGTGTCATCTTGGTTTAATTATGTGAGTTTCCATTTTTTTCTTTTATAGCAATGCATAAAAGACCCAACAACCGAAGCAGGGATATGGACCATTTTCCTCTTTTACTTTAAGGAACATTAATGTATAATATATAGTTGTACTGGGATGCCAAACATGACTAAAAAACCTAATGTTTTTCCACTAATGGTGCACAATCATCTGAATTCAGATAAATGACGAATGCAGATGTAAAAAGAAATTGTCCGGGAGGAGTATCTATTTTCTTCAAGCCAAAATTCCACACAAGCATTTTTAGTGGCTAAAAGAATTTAGAACTTGAGTTTCAAAGATATAGGAACTACTATAAGAAAATATGAAGTAAAAAAGAGAAATAATTGCACCTATCAATGCTTAAAGTTGACAAGTACAAAGCCAAAAGAGTAATACCTTTTCCGTAAGGGGAGTTGCTGGTGTTTAAATTCGTCCCTACTTCTATGATCATTGGTGTTCCTCTGTTCCTCAATCTTCTCATCAGTGTCCTTTTCAGTATGAAGATCATGCTTTCTACCATGCTCCTGCTCAGCATCATCCATGGCTCGGCTAGAAAGCCGAAATCGCTTTTCATCTATATATAGATCCCTTTTACGATCACGACTCCTCTCCTTGTTTCGGTCTTGTTCTTGAGATCTCTCCCAATGTTCTTCCAGATGACGTTTCCTATCACGACTACCAACTCTTCCTGGATCTCTACCTCTATCACCATCAGTACTCCTGTCGGTATCATGTCGAGAACGCTCATGGTTAAAGTTTGCTTTCCCACCTCTAGTCTTCACTTCATTCACTTTGACAACTCTTCCATCAATGGTCTGAATTATAGATGAATTACATCAATACTTTTGAACTAGAAAGACAGAGGAAGAAGGATAGAGAGAGAGAGAGAGCAGAGAAAGGGAGGGAGAAAGGGGGAGAGAGAGAGAGAGAGAGAGAGAGAGAGAGAGAGAGATCACCTTGCCATCCATTTCCTTCATGGCTTGCATTGCTGATCTAGGATTAGCAAAAGTGACAAATCCATAGCATCTTCCCCCAGTGGCTCGGTCATTGATTATCTGAAAACGAGATAATAATTCACTTCACTAAACCTTTCAAAATTCAAAGTATGATACTAAATCATGGGAGATCAAGACAATGCAAGTGAAAGAAAATGTTCCAAACGTTCAGTGAATTAAGAAGCTATTAGAGATAAACAAAATTACATTCTCACTAGCAAGAGGCAACAAAATTGATGCAGGATTAAAAGTGTCAGAAAAAGTAAACTTTCAGAAGACTACTGGTAGTACAACAGGCTCCAGAATACTCCATAGATACATAATTTCATCGATGTTTATGTGAAGTTAGAAGCTATTTTGTTATTTAGCTTGGTCTTTAAGTTCATGATTAAAGGGATTTGACAATCCTTGTCTAAAAACAGACGTAGTGTCTTCAGGGGTCAACCTATCTTTCTCATAATTTTAAGATGCTAAGATATTTCACATGCCAAATAAAGCCCTTTTCCTATAATCTTCTTAGAAGCCCATTAAGTCTCCTAACGCTTTTATAATAACGCTTTTAAATAGATAAAAGATGCTCGATACGAATCTTGACAATTTCTGCTACTTCAGTTTTCTTGTTCTACTCTACATAATAATTCTTGAAAGCTAATCATTGACAGCATCAAGAGCTCTCATGAAAACTGCATGAAAAACTTTTCAGATGAAAACAAATCTTCTCAATACGTGATTGGAAAGCCTGGAGAAGATATGATGACAAATGAATTAACAAAAATTTACAGATCTGTCCAATCAGACTAAAACAAGTAAAGTTGCTGTTTAGCTTTCAGCATGTAAGCAGCTCAAGAAAATGGGCAATATTCAATGCATTCTGATATAATGAAGATATTGCATCGGGAATCTAATTATCTTAGGGTTTTTACTCGCTATAGTCAGTCAGTAAATAGAATTTGAACGTTTCAAGCATAAGCTAAAGATCAATCTTAAAAATTGGCATCCGGGAAAACCATAGATTCAGCAGTAACTGCCTGGTACAATCTAGTCACTCTCAGAACATCCTTTTTCGATACACCATAAAAAGCAAAGTTTCAAACTACGTCTGAGAAGTGCACAATATCATATTAGGAGGTAGATTTACCATGGCTTTACCATCGGTTCACTTAAGAAAAAATAATAGGTATCAGATTTTAGTAGTATAATACCGATAGTGGGAATAGCAACAGTATTAAAACGACATTTTACAGAAAGGCACCTTATCGAGTCACCTAGTTACCAAATACACGGGTTTTCATAATTTATGTGTTAGATTTCTTCGAAAGCAAGCAAATTGATATTCATTCAAACCCAAAGTTCAGTTAAATCCACCAGCATTGCATAACCAAGAAAACAGCAGACTGGCCCTCACAGTTATCCATATTGATAACTATAAATGTTACACTAGTCAAAGTTTAACACAAATTTCACATAAATATGTGAAACCGAAGATGGCCACGGAGTAATTACCTAGATCTCTCTTAGCAATCAAATATACACTTTCCTCGATCTTTCTTTTATTTTACAGAAGAGGAAAAGAAAAAAAGATCCCAGAACATATCTCAACTACTTTCATTAGTAAAATCATTCTCAGAAGAGCTACTCTACTCATATGTACATATTGTGAAATACATTAATTTGTTATCATATGAAGGAAAAAATAGCAAAAACATACTTAGACATCCATGTCGGACCCAAAGTGGATACGATACGCCTATGCAAATCAATAGTTGCACACTACTGTTTCAGTCTCAAATGCCCTACAATACAAAGCCCCCAAAAACCAAGCTATCACTCCGCAGCTGAAACTAATTTTGCACAACTAGCAGAGTATAAATTCAGAAAATACTCCAACTGCGAGTTCAATTCAACAGCAATGCAAAAGACGAACTTTGTCAAGGTAAGTGAATAACTACGGTGAAAAACATGAAGAGGAAATCCGACAGAGCAATATAAAAAGAAAAAGAAAAACACCATTATCAAACAGAATGTCTACGTAAGTGTTCGAATCGAAATCGTTCTCGCGACAATTTGTAACTGGAAAAGGATTGCCATGAAACAATCATTTCACAGGACAGGAGTAAGGGCATAAGCCGCAGAGACAGAAGGAGACCTTGACGGCTAGAATGGCGCCATACATGTAGAACTCTCTGCGAATGAGCTCCTCGGTGATGTCGTACGGAAGATTACCCACGTAGACGGAGGTATTGGCGTCGATTGTCATCTCTTCCCAGTGAATTTCCTCCCTCGAAGGTTGGGTCTGACGGCTGAAACCGCACTGTGTCTCTCCAACCAGGGAAGGTTAAGGTTTAATCATGGTTTTAGAATCTGTAATAATTGTAAGTAATAAATAAATATTTGGAAAATGCTATAAGTACATAATAAATGTACATAGAGGTATGCATAACACTTACATAGAGTGGGGTTCACTTAATTTTTTTAAATTTTGGTGGGTTCACTCAAAGTGAGTGTTATGTACATCATTATGTACAATGTTATGTACTTATAGCATTACTCTAAATCCCCCCTTCCCCCTATATATTAATCCAGAACACGTTGAGCCTATGTGGCTGCTTTTGATGTTTCTGAATCCTATGTGGCAAAATTACATGCTTCGTTATTAGACTTGGGTAAATTTTAATTTAATTCCAAACCAAAAATAATTAGGTTCGGATTACCATAAATATGTTGATTATTTATGATTATGTTACATGTTTTAATTGCATGTTAATATCATTCCTTATTATAACTATTCAATCATATATATATTTTAAAAGTTAATAACTTTTGTATTTTTTATCAGTTTTACATATGTAACTAGTACAACGCTCGTGTATTACACGGGTGTTTGCTAATTTTTTTTTCTTAAAATCTAAAATTACTGAAAACAGGTAGTTGAAAATTTAAATATATTTAAAAATATTCATATTATTATATTAGTATGACACTTTTTATTTGTGCGACTTATTTGTGTTATATTATAATAATTTTTTAACTTACAACATATAACTACATTAACCATATATATATATCAATTGAGAAATAATTTTATTTTTCTAATGAATTTTAGTAAATATTATTATTTTTTATTATTATAAAGATAAATATTATTTATTTATTTCATATATACAATATAGATGTCAAATCGAAGATCATCAAAAGATGATTAATTTAATATATTAATAATTTGTGTTATATTATAATAATTTTTTAACTTACAACATATAACTACATTAACTATATATATATCAATTGAGAAATAATTTTATTTTTCTAACGAATTTTAGTAAATATTATTATTTTTTATTATTATAAAGATAAATATTATTTATTTCTTTCATATATATACAATATGGATGTCAAATCGAAGATCATCAAAAGATGATTAATTTAATATATTATATATGTAAAACCGATAAGAAATATAAAAGTTATCAACTTTTAAAATACATTTACAATTCAATAGCTAATTGTAGGAAACAAATCAAAAGCCAGGGATATATTAGTCACTTAGTAACTCACTATCTAAAATTACAAAGAATTAAAGGGTTATATTAGTACAATTGATATTAAAATACCTAAGTTAGCTAAATAATATTTATGGAATGCCCGAACCTAGATTATTAATTATTAATATATAATATTATTTGTTCAAACCTAACCACGAAGCATGATTCTTCGCCATGTAGGATTCCGAAGCACCAGAAACAGCCACGTAGGCTCAACGCATTCTGGAATTATATATAGGGAGGATATATCAAATTAATCTTCTTTTGATGAGCTTCGATTTAACATCCATATTGTATGTATAAAAAAATAATGTATATTGATCTTTATAACAATAATAAAATTATTTTTAATATTAATTAAAAAAATAAATTTATTTATCAACTAATATATTTATATTTCAAGTAGTTATATGATATAAGTTATAAAAACTAATATAATATAACATGTAAGTCATAAGTAACACATATAAGTCTAAAATATATAGTAATATATTTTATTTTATTTTTGTAAAAAAGTAAACTAAATTTAATATAGTTTTCTCATTAATTTTAAAATTTAAGAATAATTTTTTAACAAGCACCCGTGTAATACATGGGTGTTATACTAGTATTTTAATGTTCTTTAATAATTTGATTATTATTTTATTTATTAATTATTAATGACATTTTAGTGTTTTACTTTTTACCATTCAACTAGTACAATGCCCGTAAACTACACATGTGTTTGAGAAAAGAAATAATTGTGAAAAGGAAATAAATAAAATTTATAAATATTAATGATAAAGTAAAAGAAAATGCAATATTTTTTATATTCTAAAAATATTATCTATGAATATTATTTATTTTATTTAAGATATTCATTTTTTAGAACTTAAATAGAATAATTAGTTCATTATGAAGTTAATATAACATCCGTGAACAATTGAGTTGCATTAAAAAGAAATAAAATATTTGTATCAAAATAAATAAGTAATAAATTTATATTATTATAATAATGATAAAAAGTTAAGTATAAAACTAACAAATTAAAAATTACCAAAGTTAATTACTTAAAATAATTGGTGCGTTGATTAAATAAGAAAATAAAATGTAATATATGGTAATGTAGAAAAAAGAAATGTAAAAGAGTTCATGGTACTAATTGTATAAGAAGAGAAGGAAGAGATCAATTACATATTTAATGTGAATAATATCTATATATATATAATTACTGGCTCCTATGCATTAAATAAAACCTCATCAATTTTACCTACGTGGCACTTTCCCGCCTTTTTACGTTACTATTGTTCATTTTTTTTTTTTCTGAATTTACAGCTCATATTTGGAAATCCAAAGAGTTGACTTTTTAAAAAATGGCAACTAATTAATTCTGAAATAATAACAAGTTGATGTTGTTACCAATTTTTTAAAAACGTACGGTAATCATTTTTTTAACCGCAATGATTAGATTAAACGAAATAAATGAAAATAAATAAAAAATTAAAAATTAAAAATATTACAACCAACTAAAAAAATAAATTAAAAAAAAAACTCAAAAAA